TTTTAGTTCAAAAGCCATTTAAATTATAAACCATAGTTATTACCTACAGCTTGAAAGATTCAAAGGAATGTTTAAAAACTATGTAGATTTGTAATTCGAGAAGCTAAATATTTTTAGTACCAAATTGTAAAATATAAGATAATTTTAAAGTTCTTCAATTAAAACTTTCTTTGTTCTTTATATAATATAATAATAATAGTTAAAGCCTCTTTCACATTGAAGTCTAATAAGAATTTTACTTGCCACAGTGAATCTTACCAAACACTAAAACTATGCAAAATCGGGGGCAGAATTCAGAAGAGGCTAGGAGGTGGGAGTATTTTATTTTAAAACACAAGGATGGGGCACAATAGGCCTTTGCCTTCAATGAAGGAAAAGAGAAGAGAGGCAAAGAATAGAATTATACTTTTTTAAAAAGAACACCTTTAAAGAGCGCTCTTGCTATCACTTATAAATTGTATTAAAGATGAATATCAGTGAATTCACGAAAGTTTTATAATTAAAAAGTTTAATTAAAATACTAATTTCTTTTATATATAATTTGGCTTATTTTAATTTACTTTTGGCACAATAACAACAAGTTTTACGTATTATGACAGGTATTTAGATATGAAGGTGTTACTATTTTAGAAACAAAACCTTTTTTTATTATTATTAACTATATTGGCTGCTTAATTATAAGCAATTATATTAATTTTAAAATTCAGCGTTTACCTTATCTTCAGTCCGTTATTTCTATATTCAAGACCGTTTAAAAAACAGCTTGTTTACTGTATCTAAACATTCTTTTACTCAACAATATTTTAATTAATTTAGAAACTAAGGAAATATCAGTTATAAGTACATATTTATATATGACAGTTTCATTTCTATATTATATAAAGTTTTTATTATTTTAATAGTAGCTATATTAGGATATTTAACCTGCAAGCATGAGCTTTGTCAAAGAACTAAATTTTTTTTTTAATATATAGCAGGAAGGAATAAAAATTATATAAGTAATAACCTTTTATAATACTTACTTATCTCTTAACCATTGTCTTGTACATGACAAGCAAATGATCTAGTCTAATATATATAATTGTTTTGAAAACTGAATTATGTACAACTAAATTTTAACACATTGTTGTATAGCAGTCCTAAAAAAGTTCTTTTCTTTTTCATAGAACTTCTCTAAGTACAGTCATCATTAGGTGGGAGTTTAAGAAACCCTCTGTTCCTATGTGGAACAGTATTTACACAAATGATATTTTTATTGTCGGTTATTAAAAACATTGAGTATATTAAAAGGATACATGCGGCTAATAATTATAACTTATTTTCTTTAAGTAGTCTTAAAACGTAAATAGGTTTTTTTGTAAATTGTAAAAGCCTTTAATAACTTTGTGTGTAAAAAATAGACTGTAATAGTAATGAGCATAACTATGAAAATTAACTCAAAAAAGATACCTCTTATACAATTTTTTAAAGTCAACCTTTTTTTATAATTTCATTTAACCCTTACATAGAATTAGCGCCATACGTTTCTCCTTATCTTAAAAAGTAAAAAGAAAATTTGGTAGTGTCAAGAACAGAGTAATAAAATAGAAAAGTAAATAATTAGCTCCGGTTTTTTTAAAAATCTTAATATAATAGTTTATATATATGCAACTTGTTTGATATCTTGTTTAAATAAACTAAAAGTTTTAGAACAATAGTATTTCGACTATTAGCTTGTTTCCATTCATCTTATATAAAGGTTTAAGAATTTAAATATTAATTTACAAATCAAAAATATAAAAAATCTAATGTACAAAAAAGGTTATATGAAAGTTTAACAAATTATATAATATTAATTAAAGTAAATTTAATTATATTATTTTTATAAAAAGTATATCAATTTAACCATTCTGAGTTTGTAAAACGATTAAGAGTAACCACATAAATAAGAATTTAAGGCGAATCCATTAAGAATTTCTGCTCATCACTAACTCTCGTCTTATGAATTAAATAATCTGAAACATTTTTTAGCGCTAATTAGAATGTTTATTTTGTAAAACTTCCATCTGAGTGTCGAGAGACCAAACTTTCTTACTTTTTTATAAATTTTTTTTTTATTTTAAACTTTTTTCGGTGAATTCTTTATTTTTTTTATTTAAAGTAGTTCAAGTATTGTACAAAATTGTTAATATGCATTAATTTTTAAAGTAGATCTAAAAAATTTTTAGGGCTCCTCTCTTTTTACTCGTAGCTAAAAGCTCGTTTAATGACCATTAAAGTCATATTACATAATTTATTATCGTCTTAAAAGTCAGAGTACAATATCAGAAGATAACTTGCTTATAATTATTTGTCTTATAGTTTACTGCAGCAATATTTTGTTAAAAAAGTTTATGCATTTATATATATTGTGCCGCCTAGTATTAAAATTATTAGAGGCTTCAAGCCCTTTGACAATAAGCAACCTTTGCTTATAAATAAGTTATACATGTGTCTTTTTTTTGTATTTGTTTTAATGTTTTTATAAACTTGCATATGAAAACTTCACCACCTAATTTTAATAAGTTGGGTTAGGTAAGGTAAATATGTTAAACTATTATGTTAGTTTTTCACTATTACTCTTTAGACCAGTTAGTATCCTTTTTTTCAAATCTTGTCGCTTTGTTAAATATCTATATATGCACGATAAACTAATGGTAAAAACCTTGTGTGGGTTTTCTTTTACAATACATAGGCGGTGTCTAAGTGAGAAAAGTAGTATATGGAACTAAACAGGCTAGTAAACTTCTAACCTTATTTAAATTAACTCACAATACATATTGAAATTATGGTAAGCTGATGCAAAAGTAAGCATTAAGTTAAAATTAAGACTTCGATTAGCCCTTTAATGGGCAAAACGCTGCGGCTTAAAATAGATTTTTTTTTACGTTCATTGTTAACTAAATTTACCACTTTTTTCCATTTTTTTGGTTGCTGCCTACTCCGTTAGAACATGGTACTCAAACTTATTAGAGATTGTTTCAGAGACAGAGTCGGTCGTTTAGGTTCAATTTCTATAGACCTTCTCTTGCAAATTGAACTGGTAAACATAGTAACCAGTAACTTATAAAGGGGTTAACTAACTTACTGAGGTTTAAACAAATGCAAAGCAGTTATTAAAAAAATTGTATATTATTTTTTCGTCTATGTATATTTAAAAAATGTTTTTTTTGTATAAAATAAATTCGTTATTGCTTTATGCCTTAGGTGAAAATTTACTAATTTTTTTAATAGAAAAAAAAATACTTTTAGTGGTACTTAACTAATTGTTAGGGGGTTTTAAATAACCCCTTCTGATATGACAGCTAGTATAATAATATTGATGCTACACTAAATAGTTGGTGATAATACTAAATAAGTATTTTTAGTTAAGAATATTAGAATATATAAGAATAAATAACTATAGAAGCTCGAAAAGGAACCATTACGCATCAATACTATTACCGCTGAGTACAAAAACTCTCATTTTGGATATACTTATTTTACTTATCGCAAAGTGTCTAATATAGAAAGTATGATAAATTCATAAACTTTCTTTAAAGAAGTTTTTTATTACGGTTACCAAAGGATTAAGTTGCGTGTTGACGGCGCTGCAAGCCACTGTGGTGTGTTATTTATAATTAATTAAGGTTACAATTTCTAGTAGAAACAGGCTTCATACGGTGTAGAACTTTAACACAGTTGTATTTTTTACTTCGTCCTGCCATTTCCTTATAATAAGCATTTTAAAAGAGCAATTTTTAAGAATATTTTTTCCTTCGAGCTTAGCACACTTTAGAAAGATCTTTCAACATCTTATACCAATTGTCACTTTGCACTTTGCCTAACCTTAATTGGTATAGCCTTGAAAAAAATATACTCTATACCTAATTAGCAGATAGGAGGATTCACAAATTTTGTTAAATCTTAGTATAAAAAGTAAAAGGAAGCTGGGGTAGCTAAGTGTTATAATATTAACAAAAAGGTACATTATATTTAAAACTTTTTCCCCTGTTCTGCTATTCAGTGAGCTTTCAGTTAATCTCAGCTAATAGACTTCCTTGTTTTTCATAAAATTTTTAGGTTAAATATAAAATTTACATTTTATTTCGCTTCACCGTTTCTTAGTTAAATTTAGCAATTTTTAATTTTTTTGTGTAGAGTTAATTTTTTTTTCTAATTTATTTCATATTTTTATTCACTTTTCTTTTCAACTGTCCTATACTCTCAGTTATTCTTTATTTCTTCTAATTAATCAGTTTTTCTCTTATTAGTCTTTTCTTATGTTTATTTTCTATTCTTTTATTTTTTGTATAAATCCTGCTTTATTATTATTAAGTTCCTGTAATTTTTAATACTACGACTAGGTTAGTTTTTTACTTCCGCAGAGTGTTAACACCAGTCACTCCAAATTTAGTTATTATTAAACAGGGCGGCCGAGAAGCGAAATTTACTATAAATTTGATAGATTGGTCTTATATAAGAAGTCTCTTGCTCTATTCATAAACAGCTAATAAAGCTATTCTTATTTCTAAAAGTATATTAAAAAAAAAACCTTAAAAAATTCTAAAAATTTTGTGTAAACAAAAAAAGAGATACTTGCAACCTTAAGCGTTAGACTAAGCAACCAACTTTAATTTTAATATAATAATAAAAAAATACATTTATTATTCTTCTTGACACGGCCCCGATTTTAAAAGCCGTTTCTCCAATGTTTGTAACTGCTCGTATTGAGCTTTTATATAATCGGAAGCAAAAATTTTCATTTTTGTCCCAACCGTCAAGCACGTGTCTATGAATTTTGTAACGCAAATCTTTTGTAATTTTCACTCCCATTTTTTCTGTTAAGAAATTTTCAATATCTGGAACGAGTTTTAAAAAGCTTTCCTCCATCATTAAATAATAAGAATTTTCGCCTCTAGATTTTGCAACCTTTTTTTCCAGATTATATATACAGTTAAGATACTAATATTATTATTGATAAGGACCTCAACTGGAAGAGATCTTTTAGAAAAGGTTTCAGAAACTAAATTTAAGTTTTTTAATAATTCCGGCCAGTAGCATTGTGCGCCTTTATGAAAGGATACAAACTCATTAATGAATTTAAAATAGTTCCCAATTTGTGTTCTTAGGTTATTATCAACTTCGAAGATCCTTTGCAATATGAACTCTTGGGGCGATAAAGTTTCCTGGCGTTTATATATATAATTTAATAATTATTATAAAACTGGATTAGCATTAGAGTGATTTGGTAGTTATTTGTAATAGTGAGGATCCTAAATTTAGAGATAACTTTAAAAATCGCAATTCACCTTTTTTACTCTTCCCGTGGGAGTCACAGCGGGAGGGTAGGGGAGCTCCCTTTCATAAGGTATATTTTCTTGATCATCAAAGTAAAGAATGCGTGTAGAGCCGTCTAAGTATATATCCACAGTCTTATCCGGCCCATAACGTTCTTTATGAGTGATAAAGTGGCTTGATTTAAAGTACTTTTTAAAACCGGTTGTTTGTGTAATTTTTGCAGTACATATATTTTTAGAGGTTAATCGAAGTTGAGTGGGGTTATCTTTTTTAAAAAAAAAATTAATGAAAATAAATTTTTTTTTTTCCTTATACCGTATAATTACCATTGTCGTCATAAGTCACAAAGACTTCTATATCACATTTGTCTCTTTCTTCTCTCAGTGCATAGATTTCCGCTAAGTCATCCATTTTATAAGTCAATATTGGCAACGTTGAATAACTATTTATATAGGCTATGACAGCTTCAATCCACATGCAGAGTAAACACGTTTCTTTATTTTCATAATCGAAAAACCTTGCATGAAGGCCGTTATATATTAAATAGATGTAACTTTAGTAAGTACTACCTTAGATTGGCCTGGTGAAACATATAAGGGGCGTAGTTATATCTAAGTAAGTTGCGAGCTACCTCAAATGCATCCATTTCTATAATATCACTTATGTTTAGATCATTATTAAACTTGAAGGTATACAAATTGCATTTATTTGGGTATTCCACAGGATCCTTGCTATCGTAGCCTATACAGTGTGGGCCATATATCGAGTTATGCTCTTTTTCGGCTTCTTCTGGGATAGACACATCGAAGTATATTCTAGTAGGAAACCGCGGGATTATGCGTAAAAATCTCTTTTTGTTGTCTTGCACTGAATGGGCCATGTGGTATTTAAATGCGCTGACCAATTCTGGACGGGAATTGTCTCCAACAACGTAATAGATACCGTTATCCAATATAGCTTCGACCGCTTGAGAGTTGTTTAATCCTTTTTTTATATAAAAAATATTGTTAAACTATAACCTAATAACTTTAACGGAAGTATTATTACCAGAAATCCTTGGCGTAACGAGTGAGGTTGGAGACCATATTGGACAGGAACTTAGTTCTTCTTTTGAAAATTCCCAGAATAAATCCTCAGTTGCCATTTCAGCGTTTAGTAGAACTTCTTCATACGCATCAAGATAATTAGTTATTCCGTATTTCTTACAATCACTAAAAGGACAGTGCAGGTCTTTATGCGACCAAGTATGGGAGACCCAGAAAAACTCATTTTTAAACTTTTGAATTACTAATCTTAGTGCCTTCTTTGATTTACTATCTTCGTAAAGCCCAAATCCATTAAAGGCTAATTGAAAAACAAATCTTGAGCCTGTAGGTAAGCGGTTGTTAATTTCTCTTTGAAACGCTATTAGCCTTTTAAAGTCCTCGGCTGTAGCGGTATAAGTTTTTCCTAACCCGTCAACTCCTGGAGCATTATTTGTAACGTTATATAAAAGAGTGCTAAGAAAAATATCATCAATTTGTGTATCCAGAAGTCTTCGCCGTTGGCCCAGTAATAGTCCTATTTTGCAGAAGAAGGTTTATACTTCCTCTTAAGTGCGCTCTTAAAATAAACAACTAAGAATACCTTGGTACAGCCACGGAAGCCATACATCTGCCAGAACAAAGCTGTAATGCCCGTACTGACTAGCGGTAACCATGAAATGCATCTCTTCTCGGCCACTCTTTTTTTTTATAAACGCTCCCAACCAATTCTCATTGTTTACACTTCCGTTAGCATTTATCGAGTTCAAAACCATAATAGGTTTAATGTGGGCATTTGAAATACTAGGGTCATTTTTGTTTATATATGAAGGGTAATACCAACCATCAACTCGAAGAAACTTATTAATATTCCCTATAGTAAAAGTGGCCGTAGGTTTTACGCCAGATAACTTATGTTGCACGAAAGGTTCACTAATTATAAAAGACAGTTGTACATCATTGCTAGTACCTTGTTCCCACCCCTTTAATAAATTTAAATTTTACCATAATATAAGGTGTATTAGTGAAAAAATACCTCTGCCGGAATTATTGCTTCATCTACTAAGTATGAAGAAGCCAAGGAAACAGACCTAGCATGATACTTTATCTGGTAAGAATGTACTTCGTCCCACTCTTCTGGTGATAAAAGCGAATGATATCCTCGGTGCTTACTGACCACTCCTAGATTTGCATCCGTAAATATGAAAGAATTGTATCTTGGAATTGATAGTTATTAATACTTTTATAACTAAATTTAAATGTATTACGCATCGTACCTAGGATTTCCATCTTTATCATATAACCATGATGATATATGTTCTGTGGAACTTTCATTAAAAATATCAAAATTACATCCGACCGAGGAAAGAAACTAAAATAATTTTGTAGTGTATGTGTCAAGTACAAAAAAGCATGAAAAAACCTCTACGGGGAATTCCAAATGTGGACTGGTTCCGAGAATTAAGGTCCTCAGGGGAACTTCATATTCCATTTTACCAACTTTAAAGAACGCAAGGAACAAAGTCAAATTAAAAATCTTAAAAATGGCCCTATAAATCATATTTAATCTATAAGGAAAACGTAGACGACAACCTTACCCGTTAATGCCCCCTTTAAATAATCATTTTACGCACATAAACAAATTTAGCTATAAAAATTTTATTCTTCCTAATATAGGGGTATTAAAACTTTGTAATATGCTAATATAATAATATAATGAGTTTTACATTGTCTTAGTTATGTAAAAATAAAGCTAATAGATCTGCTACGCAAAGAAAAATTAAATTATTCATATTATGTTAAAATAATATATAGCTGAAATCATTTTAAAGCTCTCGATTTTTTTTTACTCATTACCATAGAAAGCCTCATTAATACAAAAGTGTCCTGTATATAACCTTATTTAGTATTCTTTTGAAGCAAAAGAACTGCTAACCAGTTAAGTATACATGCCATATATTTGGCTAAACTTAAAGTCTTTCATATATAATATATTTGATTACTTCATTGTAATTTTTTTTAATTTCTTTTAGAAGTTTAAAAAGTTATCCATTTAATTAACTGCTTAAACACTAACCTAAAATAGTTGGTACTGATATTTACGGTTTGGTTGTTCAACTGACTGACCTGACTTTATGTCAAGCGACTTGCTCTTAAGTCGTCCCAGAGGCTACTACCGGCGTTACCTGGGATCCCCAGTAATTAGAAAAGAGGAAATCTTTATCTTTACTTGTTTTTCGTTATCCTTTGTTATAACCTTTAAATTATTTCTAAAGTGGTATTTTGTTCGACCAAAGTTTAATCGACTTCGTTTTGGTCCTATAGTTCTTCATCTTTTTTTTTTTTTCCGAAGCATAACTCACATCTTGACAATGCTTTACTAGTATTCAACACAGTTACTGGTAAACCGAGCGAATGACTTTGTAGCTAAGGTTATAAGACAATGGCTAGCTTAAAGTAATAATCAGATTTTACTAATCGACTAAAGTTTATACAACCATTAGCTTTAGATAATGCCACCGAAGCTCAAAGTAATAATTAGACATAAGTAAGCATTATTTTAATATCTATATATTTACTTTTATTTACCTGTGTTAGGGTTGATAAACCAAAGTGAGACAACAGAATAAACCTTTAAAAACTAGTCATCATCTTAACCACAAGGAAGTAATCTTGGATTTAGCATTTTTACCATAGTTATCTAGACCCTGTTACTGTACGAAGTTAACGTGTATTAATCTGGTGCTTATTTTGTAGCATTGACGATGGGTTTAGAGATCTGGACAGTGATCTATAAACTTGATTCAAGTTCATTGGGGTAATGAATTCGTTAACTTTATATTTCACTATTTATAACTACCTCTAAAAGATCTCTTTTACTTTGCATCAAGGTTATCCTACCGAGCCTCTTAACTTGTTTAAACCTTTTTATAGCTTAGTACTATACACACTATAAAAAGCAAAAAAAATTAGCCAAAAATCGACTTTTTCAAAATATTACTATTATACAGAATATTTAAGAGGCTCAATTCTTCGTTATAAGAGAGCGAGCTAATTAACTTGCTTTTGGATAATTCAGTCAATCGAGTGCCTGACTTCATCTCGAACCTGGAAAGTCCCTTTGCTTCGCTTCGACTTCGGCAGGTAACTCTTATGTTATTCATTCAATAGATAACTATAGCAAACTGAATAGGTTAGCGATATGAATGGTATCGTTAGGAGTACTAGAATTCCTTGATCTGTTTGTCACATTTTGAGGCATTCGCGAAGCATTGTACATTCTTGGATTAGAATGATAGTTTTAAGTTACAGTCTAAAGGTTAATCATCGTAAAAGCGTCCGAAAATGCTCGGACCAATTCTAAACACGGCTGCTACGTTCGTTATTCCTTGCGTCTCATGGTACGTTGGACACAGAATTAAGACAATTGGGAGCCATCCACAGAAGGATTGTCGTACGTATGTATGCTACCTAAAACTGTGTGGTAATGTCTAATAACCCTCTATGGTCGAGCACTTTCGAGGATTGGTCGAAGATTACTTAAATACACTATGGTCTCTTGGAAGGGAAAACACTATTGACTGTGAATATGGTTATCCTGTTTAGTTGAATCATGTGGAGGTATGTACGATACTGTGGAGAGTCACAGGCTTATTGTTACGTACGGAAAGGTTTTCCCCTTAAAAATGGTAAAAACAACGTGGTAGATAGGTTCACTAGGCTAGTGCTACCCTTCTAGTAGCGGATGGACCTTTGCTATTGTCTCCAGCCTAATGTGAGTTAGGTACTAGAATCGACGCGACGAGCATTACACAACATAAACAGTCTGCTGACCTATGATACAAAAGTAACTTATGTAGTCCCATGGATATACTAGAGTCGCCGTCCGGAGGCAATCCTCTGTGAAAAGCAACGGACTAGCTGTGAAACTTAACTTGTGTAATTAACTAGCAGGTTAACGGAAGCAGCTAAGCTCTTTAGACACTAAAGCTTCTAGTCATTAACTGCGCGCGAAGACTTTCGCCTGATAGGTCTATTGAATGAGTGATTGAATAGCATTAGATATTATCCGTAGCCGGTGGTTGGTTCCTTGAAAGTTCGATCTATGTTCGTAGCATAGTACTTAGTTCATTGAAATCACCGCTGAGATAGTGCTTATGCTATATATTAGCTTGTACTTGGTTCAAGTATTTTGGCTGAGTTAAGGCTCGATCGAATAGTAATTGTTGCTATAGTCTAGTAGCTGGTATATGGTGTAGGTACTGTTATAGAATTAGTGCTATTACCTAGTATATACATAGATATAAGCGCGCGAGATATTTCACGGTTTGATACCCAATAAACTGATTTAATTTATAGACTGTAAAATATTTAAAAAAAATACTCGCACTTAATATTTGTAATCTTAGCTGAAAATAAGATCTCTCTACATAATTATAAGGGAACAGTGGTATTAAAACTTAACAAGCTACACAAAGTCCATCCAGTAGGATCATAAGCTAAAAAAATTCAAGGTTTAACATGTACCAAGTACCTATTATAAATAATTCATAATAAAAATATTATCTCTAATAAATGCAAGAGAACATTTAATTTGTTAATGTTTAGAAAGCTACGG